GGAGGAGGAGGAGGAGAAGGAGAAGGAGAAGGAGAAGGAGAAGGAGAAGGAAGAAGGAGAAGGAGAAGGAGAAGGAGAAGAAGAAGGAGAAGAAGAAATAATAATACCTCAATCGGAGCAGTAAATGGGCCCTTGTGAGATTCTGTCCTGCGCCTCTGTTCTGTGGAGTAGTACTCATTCACTTCTGTCCTCATTCTCTCCCACCTAAGTGCGCGCCACCACTCCAAGGAAGAGTCAGTGGATATGGATATGAGCCCGCTGAGGCCCCAGAACCATCTCTATGGTTGTGAACTAAAAGCCAACAAAGATTACCACTCTAAGGTGGATAACAATGAAAATGAGCACCAGTTGTCATTAAGAATAGTCAGTTCAGGGGCTGGTGCAAAGGATGAATTGTACACTGCTGAAGCAGAGGCTATGAATTATGAAGGCAGTTCAATTGAAGTAACACTGGCAACAATGTCTGTACAGCCAAAAGTTTCTCTTGGGGGCTTTGAAATCACTCCACCTATTGTCTTAAGGTTGAAGTGTGGTTCAGGGCCTACACATATTAGTGGACAACATTTAGTAGCTGTGGAAGAAGATGCAGAGTTGAAAGAGGAAGAGGAAGAAGATATAAAACTTCTAAGTATATCTGGAAAGCGACCTGCCCCTGGAGGTGACAGCAAGGTTCCACAGAAACAAGTAGAACTCACTGCTGATGAAGATGATGAGGACAATGAGGATGAGGATGATGATGATGACAATGATGACGATGATGATTTTGATGAAGAAACTGAAGAGAAAGCTCCAGTGAAGAAATCGATAACAAGATACTCCAGCCAAAGATGCACAAAAATCAAACCAGAATGGAAAAGACTCAAACCGTCAATACGAAGATCAAAAGGGCAGGAATCCTTCAAGAAACAGGAAAAGACTCCTAAAACACCAAAAGGACCTAGTTCTGTAGAAAACATTAACACAAAAATGTAAGCAAGTATAGAAAAAAGTGGTTCTCTTTCCAAAGTGGAAGCCAAATTCATCAATTATGTGAAGAATTGCTTCCGGATGACTGACCAGGAGGCTATTCAAGATCTCTGGAAGTGGAAGAAGTCTCTTTAAGAAAACAATTTAAGTCAGATACTGACAAAAGGATGTACAAAGAGCGGTACAGGGCTCAGGATAAATCCTAAGAGTACTTGGCTGACCTTATCAGATACAAAAGTTACATTTCTTATTATATAGGTCTTGCTATATCTTGGTCTTAACCATCCAGCAGAAAAATATAAAAATGAGGTATGTAAAGTAAATCCATATTAATACAATGAGCTGTAAAAGGCTCAAGTCAATAACTTCTGAGGATAACCCACTAATATTATAGACCTCTAGACAGTGT